TTTCAAACTGCAGCAGAGGGCTTTAAGAGGGTTCACTCCTCCTTTCTCCTGGTTTTTCCCTTTCCTGGCTTCCAGCTTTCCTTCTCTGCCCTTGGGTTTCAGACTGCAGCCAAAGGGATTTGAGGGTTCACTCCTCCTTTCTCCTTGTTTTTCCCTTTCCTGGCTCCCAGCTCTCCTTCCCCTGAGGTTTCAAACTGCAGCCAAAGGGATTTAAGAGGGTCCATCCTTCCCTTCTCCTGGTTTTTCCCTTTCCCTGCCCTTGGGTTTCAAACTGCAGCCAGAGGGATTTAAGAAGCTCCACTCTTCCCTTCTCCTGGTTTTTCCCTTTCCTGGCTCCCAGCTTTCCCTCCCTGCCCTGGGGTTTCAAACTGCACCCAGAGGGATTTAAGAAGCTCCACTCTTCCCTTCTCCTGTTTTTCCTTTTCCTGGCTCCCAGCTCTCCCTCCCTGCCCTGGAGTTCCCCCCTCTTTGCTCCTGGTTGTGCTGAAGAGCGATGGGGTCTCCCTGGAAATCTCCACACAACATCATCCCATTCCCAGTTTTTATTGCTGGGATGTTTTGTAGGGTTAGGAAAGAATGTATCCATGTTTGAAGCCCCGGGATAGTTTGGAGAGCTGGGAATTCAGCAAAATCCCATCACCTCTGCCTTGGAAAATGTGGCTCCTTTCCTACTTGGGTGGAGACAAATATTCCCATGGGTTGGGACCTCACTGCTCTGGGGGAAGAGTGAGGAGAGCAGGGAAAGCCTGGAAGGGGTTGTTGGAAGGCATTGGAGCTCTGGGAATGGGTGGACAGGGATCATCCCACACTCAGCAGGAAAGGAGATGTTCCATCTTCCCTCAAATCCCTTATTCCCACTGGGGCAAAAGGTTCTTTCTCTCCATCCCCACAGCTCTGGGGGGCTCCAAAGCCCATGGAAGGGAGGGAAGAACAAAATTCTCTTTCAGGGGCCTCCTCACCAAAGATATTTCCATTAAAAACCAAAAGTTTTGCAACACTTTTTACTTCTTACCATGAAATATTCAGCCCCAGGGGTTTGGGCCCCTAAATTAGAAGTAGGTGCATGGAAAGAGTGTGTTTGTAACCTCCTCGTGGAACTGAAAGAAATTAAAGACATAAAATAAAGCTCTGAAAGGTCAAAGGGATAAAAGGCCAAGGTGAAAACTTATAATTTCAAATCCCAGCTGGAGGAGCTGCTGCAGCAAATTGGCTGAAGGAGAGGAGCTGAAATGAAGGTACAAAGTGCTAAAAATCTGCAGATTCCCCCCAAAAAACTTCCACTGCAGTGACCAACGTGGAGGATAAGAAATGGGGAGGAGGCAAATTAAAAAGGATCAGGTCAATTTGTGCTATTTTCACTCAGCTCTTGGCCCCCAGTGTTTCCAGCAGGGTTTTGATGCCACGGCAGGTCCAGCTCGTGGAGAGGAAGGAATTTCCCCTGGAGCTGCAGGAAATCCCAGTTTGGTTTGCTCAGTGCTCTCCAAACTAAAATAAACCTCCAAATAAACCTCCAAAACTACCCTCAGAATAAAAGGATGGAGCAGTTTGGAACTCCCAGCCCGTGGGGAAGGCACCAATGATCCTGGAAACAGCATTCCAGAACTTTTCCTCTGCCTGAGGTGCATTCCCATAAAATCCCCTTAAAAACAAACCAGCACTGGTATTTACACAATATTTCCCAAAAGGAAACGATCCCATAAGAAGGACTGGCCTGATTTTCCGTGGATTTATGTCTGGGAAGATTCAGACACAAACCAAAGCTCCCCATCTTGGCTGGTCATGGATTCTCTGCTCTCCAGCAGGAATTGTCTCCAGAAGGAATTCTCCTTCTTCCCTCCATGGGGACTACAACTGGTTTAATTTTTGACCCAACATCCGCTTTTTAAACAATTAAATATACAAAATTTCCTTCAGATCTCCCGGAGCTTTATCCCAACTGAGCTGAATTTAATTCAGCCAATTGCAGCTGAATTTAAACATCTCATTTTAGAAGTCCAGGGGAGGGAAAATAAGGTGGAGGGAGGAGGAGAAAGGCAAGAAAAGCGTATCCAAAAGCCTCATTTCCTTAAGGAATTAAGCTGCAAAGCATTAAAACCACCTGGGTGAACCCATCCTTGGGATCTTGGAGCCTCAGGTTGGATTTTCCGCGGGAAAGAAGGACCGAGCTGCGGGTGTGGAATTAATTCCCTGTCTCGGTGCTGCCACCGTCTGTCGTTCTCTGATGAGGCCTCTCAGCACATCCCACCTTCCCTTTCCACCGCTCCCAGTTCCTGTACCTGTTTTCCCAGCGCATTCCCATCATCTCAGCTCTCAGCCCCCTGCTCCAGAGCATCCCTGGCATCGCTCCACCCTCCTCTGATCTTCCCAATCCCATCAGAAATGCAAAGCTCGAAGCTGGGCAGTCCATTTGAGGTTCTAAAATATTCATTTCCTAGGGAGCTTTTATTTTTCCCTGGAATTGTGCTTAGTTCCCTAAAATTGCTGGAGCACGGCAGCAGAAGTGATTAGATCCTCCTGGATCTCTGTGCTTGTTCTCTTGCCTAAAATCCCAGTTTTTTCCTAGTAAAGAATCCACAATTCTCTTCCCAGTTACCTTCAGAGATCAAGTTTAAACTGACAGAGAGTGGGATTAGATGGGATATTGGGAAGGAATTCCTGGCTGGGAGTGCGGTGAAGGACTGGAATGGATTTTTTTCCCAGAGAAGCCGTGGCTGCCCCATCCCTGGAATTATCCAAGGCCAGTTTGGAGCAACCTGGGATAGTGGAAGGTGTCCAGGGGGGTTAGAACTGAATGACCTTTAAGATCCCTCCCAACCCAACCCACTCTGGGAATCTTTGCATCCATAAGTCCGGGTGAAACTGTGGATCGTGGCAGCAAATCCTTCAGATTCCAAGAACCTTTCAGGAGCCAGAGATGCTTTTAAAATCCCGAGATATCCAACCCTGGGCTGGGCTGGGGGAGCCTCTGATGCTGCTGATGCATCGGCTTGGCTTTCATCCCTCTTTTTTTTTATTCAGGGAAGAGAATTCCCTCGCCAAAGCGGGAGCAAAACGAGAGCACCAGAGGCTGGAATCGCTCGGGCAGGTGTTAAAAAATATATATAAAAAATATTTCAAAAATATAAAATAATATAAAAATATATAAAATAATATAAAATATATAAAATAATATAAAAATATTTAGAAATATATTAAAAAGAGGAAAATCAGAGGGTTTAATAAGTGAATTCCCTTCCTCAGGGAGAGCTCTCAGTGCTCCTTTTCTCCTGCATCCTCCTCTTTCCAAGCCTGGCTCGAGGAGCAGCCGAGCTCTGTAAGTGACACCGGGCTAATTAATTAATTAATGACTCCCCGGCGTCGCCTCCGCGGCTGCTGGGATAGAGGAGGGAGGCAGGAAAAAAAGGGTTGGGCAAGCCCGGAGCTGCTGCTGCTGCCGGGAAATGCTGAGCTCTGCTCCGAGCTGAGCTGCCGGGCTTCTCCATAACCCTGCCCTGCCTCGGGCTCGGACCAGGAGCTGGAAAAATCCTTGGGAAGAGAAGATGGCGTGGGATCCAGGCTGGAATCCTCCTCCCTCCTGGGTGAGAGCCTCCTCCTCCCTCGTCCTGTCCTGCTCCCGAGCAGCCCTGGCACAGTTAATCGAGGTAAGGAGAGGCTTTTCCCGGGGCTTGGGATGCTCCAGGAATGTGGGGTTTTCTTTTCCCCGGGGCTTGGGATGCTCCAGGAATGTGGGGTTTTCTTGGGATGCCCCCGGAATGTGAGGTTTTCTTTTCCCGGGCCTTGGGATGCTCTGGGAAAGTGTTTTGTTTTTTTTCCCCGGGGTTTGGGATGCTCCAGGAATGTGGGGTTTTCTTTTCCCAGCGCTTGGGATGCTCCAGGAATGCGGGGTTTTCTTTTCCCAGGGCTTGGGATGCTCCAGGAATGTGGGGTTTTCTTTTCCCGGGACTTGGGATGCTCTGGGAATGTGAGGTTTTCTTTTCCCGGCTCTTGGGATGCTCCAGGAATGTGAGGTTTTCTTTTCCCAGGGCTTGGGATGCTCTGGGAATGTGGGGTTTTCTTTTCCCGGGACTTGGGATGCTCCAGGAATATGGGGTTTTCTTGGGATGCTCCAGGAATGTGGGGGTTTTCCAGGCAGGACACATAGGATGGGTGGACAGCAGGGGATTTAAGGTGGCTCCAAAGGGGTTGGAGGTTCTTCTTCCCAAAAAAATGGGAAGAAGGAGCTGTGGAAGGGTTTTTTAGCCCAGTTCCAACAAGTGGCACATGTCAGGGATCAGGGAGAGCCGGGAAAAACTGGGAATGATCCCGGTGATCCCACCCCTGGATGCACCTGCCTCAGGGAAACATTTGGGGGCGTTTTCCTCCTTCTTCCCTTCCCTCATTCCCTCTGGTTCTGCACAAACAGGAACTTTGGAGGTGACTCCAGAGCTTTTCCCTGAGGATGACTGTGCACTGCCATGGCCCTGGGATGGAGGGAAAGGCTGGGATGGAGGGAAAGGCTGGGATGGTGGGAAAGGCTGGGATGGAGGGGAAAAGCAGCTTCACAGGCCCTGCCAGAAGGGAGAATCCTGCTTGGAAAAACAACCCTCCAGAATTCCAGCTGCCAACAGTTTTGCAGCCAGTGGCCCAACCACCACCCAACCCTCTGCTTGTCTCACTTTAAAGCGAATTAATTCCAGATTTTCCAACAGATTTCCCTGTTTAATTGGGCCATAAGATCCCCAGCAAGGCAGGCAGGGACCTCAAACTCCTTCCCAAACTGCTGGAAACGTTATTCCCAGTTTTTCCCTGACCTGTTCAGCCTCTCTCAAGGTGACAAGTGAGGCAGAACTTTCTCTTACCGAGCACTTTTCCCAAAATATGCTCCACTGAGCCCCTGCAGGATGTTCCCACCAGGATGTTCCCTTTCGTTGCATCCCAGACACACATTTTACAGGAATTGTCCTCCTGTCAAAGCCAAGCAAAGAGAAACCTCCAAACTGCCAGAATTGTTATAAACCAGGTGTCGTTTTAGGGCCTGTTTTTTACCAAACCAGACTTTCTTGATCCTCTGCGAGGGCTTTGTGCTCGAAATAACGAGATAATTTGGTTGGCCTGAATAATTCAATTTGTGCTGAGCCAGTCCACCAGAGCAAAGGGGCTGGACAGCAAAACATTTCACTCAGCTAAGAAAAAAAACCCACAAAAATAACCCAAAAAGGAGAAGTAGAGAAAGAAGAAGATGTTTGTTTGTTTGTTTGTTTTTAATGGTGTTCAAGTGTTTGCAAATTCATTTCCACCTGGGACTGCAGAGGCAATAAAAACCTCTGAATATTGAATTTTTTGCATTGGCAAAAAGCTTTTTCCCCTGGGAGAATTGTCAGTCCCCTGGGTTGGAAGTTTAGCTGGGCAAGGATTAGGGAGTTCTCCTGGCACTGGGTGAATCTGGAAATAAAATCATGGAATTCCAGCATGGGTTGGGTTGGGAGGGACTTTAAAGACCCAGTTCCAGCCCAGGGATACCTTCCACTATCCCAGGTTGCTCCAACCTGGCCTTGGACACTTCCAGGGATCCAGGGGCAGCCACAGCTTCTCTGGGAAAAAATCCAGTCCCTCCCAGCCAAGAATTCCTTCCCAATATCCCACCCAAACCTACCCATATCCAGACCTTTCAAACTCGGACATTATCAGCTGCTAAAGAAACCCCTGGAATGTTGGGAAAAGGCCCTTTTCCAGCGTCACCCCAAGAAAACTGAAGACAAAAGAACACACTTTGCCTTTTTCTCCCCCTTTTCCCGGGCTGCTCAGACCTTGCATCCAGCTCCCAGAAAATACCACCCATTCCATAAAATTCCTGTGGCTTTCCACCTTCCCAACCATTCCTGCTGGGATAAAGGATGCCTTTTAGGAAGCAGGGAGTTCCCACAGGGCTGAAGAGGCAGCAGTTTGGAACATCCCTGCTCACCTCCAAAGTGCCCAAGAGATGCTCTGGAAACATCCCTGGGAACAGGGAGGGAGGAAAAACCACATTTCCAGCATTTCTAGTATGGAAATCTCTCCTTCTAAAGGTCAATATAACCCTCATCACTCCTTCTCTTCATCCCTCTTTTGGGCCAGAGCTGAAAATCTCAGAGCTGAAAATCAGAGCTGAGAAAATCCCAAGATGGTTTGGGATGGGAGGGACCTTAAGGATCATCTCATTCCAAACCCCTGCCATGGACAGGGACACCTTCCACTAGCCCAGGTTGCTCCAACCTGGCCTTGGACACTTCCAGGGATCCAGGATTCCTGTTGGGAAAAGGCCCTTTTCTCTTCATCCGTCTTTTGGGCCAGACCTGAAAATCCCAGAGCTGAAAACCAGAGCTGAGAAAATCCCAAGAGGATTTGAGATGATCCTTCAGGTCCCTTCCAACCCCAACCATTCCATGATTCCATTTCATAATTTATCCCACTTAAATTCACTCATTTCAACCTTTTTTCCCCTAAATCCTATTTTATTGACCTGGGAAGGAAACCCAGCTCAATTCTTTATCAGAATTCCCCATTTGCACTCGGGGACCTTGGAAGTTTTTCCAACCTCAGGGATTCTGGGATCATTCCCATGTTTCCAGTGTTGCATTTGGACCCTGCCAGGGTTGGGATGCATTTTTCCCTCATGGATGGATGTCCCTTGCTGGATTATCCATCTCCTGCTTAGAAGGAAAGGCAGGGAAAGAACATTTCTGTGCCTTTATTTAAAGCTCCTCCTTCCTGAGCCATCCCTGGCTTTTGGATATGGAACCAAATGCAATTAGGGATAAAAATTGTGAATTTTTCAGGGAAACAGCAACACCAATCAAGCCTAATTAGAAAGGACATTAAAAAAAAAGAGATCTCAAAAAGTGGTGCCTTTTCCTCCTTTTTCTTCTCTGCTGCTTAAATAAAACTCCTGCATCCAACAACTCCCTCCTTTTCCATTGGGAATGATCCCTCTGCTCCCCCACTGGGACACTGACAGGTCCCACCTGCCTGAAGTGAATCAGAAGGGAGCAACACTGATATTTTGAATTATTTGGGAGTTAAGAGAACCGATGTCAAACTGTTCTGACCTAAAAATGCCTGGGAATGATTGAATGGTTTGGGATTTAGGAGATGTTTTGCAGCCCCGAGTTTCCACTGTCAGGGCAGATCCAGCTCCTTATGGAATAATTTTTTCACCTCCCAGCCCTTTTTTGGCCACTTGGAGAAGCAGAAGAAAGACCAGGATATAAAATAATCCAACCTTGGCTCTGATTTTAGTTCCCCCATCCCCAAAAACAACCCTACGGGGTTGGAAACCCAAAATAAGGGGCAGCAACAAACCCCCAACCCCTGCCAGGGAGCCACTTGATCCCTGGGACGCCCCAAAAATCCTCTTCCCTGCTCCCAATCCCAGAGATCCAGCACAGAGCTGGATCCAGGGCAGGATTTATTTGCTCTAAATCGGGAATCTGGAAACTGGATACCCCCAAATCTGAGCTGGGCACTGCAGGCTCTGCTTAGAATCCCTGAAATAATCATTGATTTATTGTTTATTATTTATTATCAGCTCTGGAGTTGTTTCCTCAGTGAATGAGCTTAAGGAAGTGCCCCTTTCCCACAGAAATAAGCCTGGACTAACTAGGTCAGGCTTAACTACTTGCACCACACATTTTGAAGGCCCTAAGTGGGGGTAAATGGATTTTCTTCAGGGGGAGAGATTTAACTTGAGGGTTAAGACCCAAAAATATGCAATTTTCACCTCAACAAGTGCTCTGGATTCTCCAGCCCTGCAAGGGACACCCCCACAACAGGCATGGAATTCTGGGATGGTTTGGGTTGGAAGGACCTCAAAGCTCATCCCATTCCAACCTTCCCCCCAGCCCGGGTTGCTCATCCACCTTTGGCCTCAATGTTTCTCCCTGGAGTTGGTTTCCCTTCCCTAAAATCCGGGATCTAACCTTATTTTGGGCTCTGGGTTATATTCCAGCTGTTTTCCAGCTGCTGCCACAGAGAGTACAGGTCTTCCACCAACATCCCCTGGAATATTCACCAATCCCTACATCATTTTCTCCTCTACATTTCAATCCAGGCTCCTAAGGCACAATTTTCTCTTTTCTATAAACACAATTAAACCTTGTTTTTAGCCCGCGTTATTCCTTAAATTCTGCTCCATTCCAGTTCCTCCTGCAGTCCCAACTTTCTCCCATCCCTATGGACACTGGTGGCAACATTGTCCTGAGGTTGATCCCAGGTGTGGTTGCATCTTTTCCTTTGGTATATTCCCATTTTCTTGCCTTCCAAAGCCTTTTCCTGTTGAATTATCCCCTGAAAGCCGCCAGTGCTGCTTCTTCCCTGGATTTTTCATATTCCCAACAACCTCCTTCACCTAAGGATGACTCCCTGAAGCCTGATATCCTCTCCAGAAGACTTCCCTCCTTCCTCCAGTCCTCTGGAATCTTCTGTTCAGTGCAACTGGTTTGCATGGATAAAGGAATGTCCATATTCCACTTCTGGACCACATTCCATCCCCTCTGATGGAATTCTGAGTGGTTTTTTCCCTCCACCTTTCACTTCTGGACCACATTCTATCCCTTTGATGGAATTCTGGGTATTTTTTCCACTTCTGGACCACATTCTATCCCTTTGATGGAATTCTGGGTGGTTTTTCCCTCCATCCTCCACTTCTGGACCACATTCCATCACCTTTGATGGAACTCTGGATTTTTTTTTCCCCTCCATTCTTCACTCCTGGACCACTTCCCAACACCCTTGATGGAATTCTAGGTGGTTTTTCCCTCCACCTTCCACTTCTGGATCACATTCCATCCCCTTTTATGGAACACTGGGTGATTTTTCCCTCCATCTTTCACTCTTGGACCACATTCCAACCCCTTTGATGGAACTCTGGGTGTTTTTTCCACTTCTGGACCACATTCCACCCCCTTTGACGGAATTCTGGATGTTTTTTTCCCCTCCATCTTCCACTTCTGGATCACATTCCATTCCCTGGAACTCTGGGTGATTTTTCCCTCCCTCTTCCACTCTTGGACCACATTCCAACACCCTTGATGGAATTCTGGGTCGTTTTCCCCCTCCATTCTCCACTCCTGGACCACATTCCAACACCCTTGATGGAATTCTGGGTGGTTTTTCCCTCCACCTTCCACTTCTGGACTACATTCCATCCCCTTTTATGGAACACTTCCATTAGGATATGGGGTTTTTTTAGGATGTTTTACTCCAATATCAGCACATCCCTTCCCATTTGCTTTTATTCACATCCTTTTATTCACATTCCCAACTAGTCCAAGAGTTTTCTCATCATTCCTTCACGTCTCAGACTGGAGAATATTGGAATATCAAAGGAATTCCTGCCACACAGAGCGATTCAGTTTGGAAAAGACCTCCAGGATCTTCAAATCCAACCTTTGGCCAAACACCCACCACGTCAACTAAACCACCGAGTGCCACGTCCAGTCATTCCTGGAGCACTTCCAGGGATGGGGATTCCACCCCCTCCCCCTTCCAACATCTGCCTCCCTTTCCCAGTTGTCCATCAGAGACAAGTCTGGAAGGAAAGATCCATCCTTTGGATAGCTGAGCTCTGCAAAATGACCCAAATAAATCAAAATTATTTATATTTATCCTGTGGGTCAGATTGAGGCTTCCCCAGGCTGGGATCAGGAGTCAGGAAAGCTGATCCGAGGCAGGAAGGAAATTTAGATCTCTGGGGTCAAGCCATGAATTAAACAGAATTTTCTGACCCTCAAACCGTGTCCTGATCCCTCCTCCCGGGGCTTTGTCCTCTGCGGCTTCTCCAATTCCAATTTCAATTCCAATTCCAATTCCAATTCCAATTCCAATTCCAATTCCAATTCCA